AATTGTTCAAGCCATCTTTAAAAATACTGTGATGCAGAGAACTGTTAACAGAGTCCAACCATTGTCTCAATTTTCAAACTTGGAAAGGTGGATTCTATCAGCTATAATTTAGAGAGCTGGACATTAATTGCAGATACTATTCCAAAGAAAAGATTAAAAACATGGTATGCAAGCATTCCAAATGTGAAGTGCTGTTATTTATAAACTAACGAGAGGTCACAGGAACCTATCACGATTATCAACTAACCTAGTTATCTCCTTCTGTTTTCAGTAGCCGTTACTTGACATATATTCTACAGGAATGGAAACTCATTTCAGCAAGGAATTTGACCAAGTCTGTCTCAGTATACTCTCTTAAGCCACACAAAGGAATGTAAACTTCAAAGAGTTATTTGACTATGTAACTGGTTGAACAGCTTTATAAAGAAGAATAATTTATGGACTAATGTACAGCGGGAGTCTATCTAAAGGCAGGTGTCCAGGAGAATGCCAAGGTAGTTCCAGTTCAGCATTGTAGATAGTTACTTGGACGAAGATGTTAATTACATCCTGATCAAACCTGTTAATTCCCCTAAATTGGAGAAAATGGATAATCTGTATCAAGGACTCACAATTCAAGAAGACTTTGACTTTCTGGAACAATAGGCTAACTAACGCTAACGATTAAATTTAATTGCAGTAAGTATTTGGAAAAGCCCCAAATCAAGTGGCCAAACATAAAATTAGGTTGGGAAAAGAAGTGTATTTTCAGAAGAATGTGCAAAAAGGACATGAAATTAAACAATATTGTATGAGTGCAGAAAAAAGGGGGGTAAGGTAGAATAGATTTCAAGTTGATTAACTATATGGTATCTAGAGGACATAAATATATCAGAGGATGGTCCTCTATGTTCAACTCTGGGGATCACACTAAGAAAAACAGAAGTGCATCCAAAAGAGAAAAGCCCCGATCACGATGAGACGCTCAACCCATGCTAAACACGCACGGGTTGAAGGAACTGAATACTAACTTAGACACTATTAAGAGTTGTTAGATGTAAAAGCATTTTGTATAAATACTCTAAGAGGTACAAATTAAAGATACGGGTATTAAAGAGACAAGTTTGATAGTTGAATATAAGAAAAGAGTTCTTATGCTCAGACCTGGTCAAAGAAATGCTTACTGTATTCAAGACGAGTGTTGACAAATAATTTGCCAAAACTGACTCTAATATTCTCTGTGAATTAAAAAGTGTGGTCCTCTGCTAAGAATGAAGCATGGAGATAATTTTGGTCGACTAGAAAACCTGGGAAAATCCGGAATGTGTACCATGGAGAATTTGATATGAAATTAACCAAAAAAGAATAAAATAACTGCATAGCACTGCTAAGTATACTATACACTAACAGGAGTGAAGCAGTTGGTAGCCACAAGATGCAGTTATGTCTCTTTGTCCAGCTAAATCCACAGCAAGGAAGATAAAACAGACATTAAAAGTGAAGCTGACATTGGGAAGGCAGGTTCCAGTAGCTCTAGTGGCAAGAGATTTAAGGGTTTGAGCAGAGTTAAAATGGTTGGTGAAATAAATAACAGTTTACAAGCAATTCTGAAGAGGCTACCAACCATATAACAGAAGAGCACACAAGGATCTCTGTCACAAAGATCATAGCCCCATCTGGTAGCATCAAGGCATAAACAAACCTTAGTTCAAGAATAAGAAAGACAACAGTGTTAAGCCCTTTAGACACCTACTATGCGCCAACCACTATGGATACCGTATTGGATACTCTGAAGGAGAGTTGAATTTAGTGGGAGATGCAGACATTTAAACAGGTGCTTTCAGTGATGTGTGACAAAGCAAAAGGGGATAAATAGATAGGCTGGGCCTAGAAAAAAAAAAAAGGTCAGGATTAAGAAATGGGTCTGCCTCACTTGCTTTCAACAAGAAGGCGTTCACTTTCAAAGCCATTGTCTTGTGTTGATTTCCTGCTAATTCTTAGCATGGTGAGATGGAGGGCTTGGTATGTGAGTTAATTAATTTGAGTTGCCTTCAATTTTATAAAAGGGAGGTTTTGTTTTAATGAAATATTATTAATGGCCAGAAGCATGCCAGATAAGAGGAGTTAGAAATTACAGGCTGTGAGGCCCATTCTTGTGGCAAGGAAGAACATGTTCCAGAGGATCTCAAGTTTTAAGATGTAGCCATTCTCTCTTTCTGTGGGCTTGGAAGATGAAGCCTATTGACCTGAATCCAGGACAGAATAAAATATATAAATATATGTGTGTATATATGTATATATACATATATACACACAGACACACACACATATATATATATAAATATATATACATATATACATCATATATATAAAATAAATATATACATTATATATATGTATTATATATATGTATTTATATATATATACACACATATACACACACATATATATATATATATATATATATATATATATATATATATGTTAAGTAAGACATTTCAAAATGTTCTGAAAAAAATTAAAGAAGCAGATATGATTCAGGATAGCCAGGAAATTTATTTTACCCTAAGTAAATCAATCCCAGGAAATTTACTTCACTCCAAGTAACTAATCATTGACAAAAGCTCTTGTATCAAGTCAAGATGTAGATACTCAAAACAAACTATTGCAGAATCAATGTAGATAGCCAAGATATAAAAATATTTTTAATTATTGATACTTTTGAAAGAAATATTTGTTTTTACAAATGTACAAAAAGTAATAAATATAAATGTTTAAGAAAAGTGGCTTGGGTAAATATTTTTAACTCACCAGTATAAAAACTAGTGCCTTCAAAATGGAATAGTCTCACAAATAAAAGCCAAGCAACTGTTTAGTGAATCTGACATAGAAAAAGTCATTCTGAATAACCACGTCCTCCAAAATCTTTTTCCTATCAATGGGCATACTTTTTGGCTTGTTTTGTTGAAATACTGCCTACCTTTCCATTTCCCCTTACTTGTTGAGATTGGTTCTGATGGCTAATTTGATATTTATTTATTTATTTCTAAAAAAAGGTAAATTAGAAATTATGAGGGTACATATCATGTTATTTTAAATTAACCTGTAAAGAAAGAAATATTCTCCTCATTCCATAATCATTAACTGTTAGCAAATGTAAATGCAGGATTTAATTTCCCATATATAGTTTCTGAAAAAATTCAGTTATACAATATTGCAATGTGTCAATAAAAGTGATGTTAGATAAAGGTTTAATTTTTTTCAAGTTTAGTTGAAAAAGATCTGTGACAAAATTCTTAAAATTAGGTCACAAAATAGTTTATTGATGTATGTGTAATAGATATGCTTTAATTTTAATATTATCACTTGTTTGTAGTGAAATATTAAAATAGCTTCTCAACATGTCTTAACAAGCCATAGTTTTAAGAGTTATAAGGACTAAGCATTGGGAAGTTTTTCACACTTCTTTTGTCCTTGGGACTGCCATAAATAAATAAAATAATTTTATATTTCCTTCCTCATTCTTTGAATGACAGAAAACTATTTTAATCATGTTATTTAATACCTGAATATCTAGAAGCAAGAACTTTAAGGGGTTACTTATATTTCATACACTTTGAGACACCATGTCAAGCATAAGTACTTTATATGTTGATTGGATTTCAAAGACAAAAACATAATTTTTATTTTCTGCCTTTTAATAGAGATCTTAAAATACAAGAGTAAATATAGGGTACGCAGCTATTCACTACAAAATTCTACTGAATAAACTTCACAGACTTATCTCCTAATGCATCAAAATACATGCATCTGGTCTTGTGAAATGTTTAATTATATTAACACCATTTAATTGTTCTGAAATTTTTCTGCTGGCCTATGTCTGCAGGCTCTATGTAGAGAGCCTGTTGTTTTGACAAGAAAATGTGTGGCTTACGTGGTTTTACCCTGTGGTCCTTAATTTTGTGTTATTTGATATTTGACTCTGTACTAACTCCCTTAAAATGCAGCATCTCTAATGTTTAAGTACAATTTTAGGAACTGCAAGCCCCCAGAAGAAGATCCACAGACCCAGTTGTTTAGGCTGAGCAAAGCATAGACTGTATAGACAACTTCCACTGAAGGAATAATGAAGTTTATACACATAACTTTCAGACGAATCAAGTGTTGCTTATTTTGGTCACGTCGTTACTATCATAACGCGTTGATTTTTTACCACTGTGCATAATAAGGTACCTGAAATAATCACTATTAAAGAAAAAGAAATACGTATAGCCATTTTAGGAAAAGCAACAGACCACTTCTACACTATGAACCAAGATATAAAAATTTATATAATTAAGGGCTTCAACCCTTACCTATATGTAACAGGAAAGTTTGACGTTCCTACCAAGGCCCTTCTAGTAAGTGGTAGAGATGTAATAAAATCAAATCAAGAATTCATTAAATAGGCATTTAGTGAAATCACCATAGGAGGACTGATCCTGAAACATCACTATTGATATGTAATAAATGAAGTTCAAATGAAAGAAAAAATATCTGCCCTATTTAAAACCCAGCACTGTTTCCATAGGTTCGATTCAAGATGCCTTCCACCAGTCATCGTTAAGTGAGCCTTAAGATCTTCTGGCTTACTTCAGAAGATGTAAACTGTTTATCGAGTGCACAATAAAAGAATAATCATGTGAAAATCCGTGAGCAAAGAAAGACGCACGAAATCCATAGCCTGAAATCACATGACCACAGTGCAACGCAGCCCCTCACACCATCGTCACTGGCAGGCAGCTCGGGCGACGGGGTGCAGCCTGGCGCGGAGACCCCGGTGGCCCCCTGCTCACCGTTTCTCCTAGAGTCTCAGTCCCGACGAAAGCAGAAACGGGACTGCTAAGCAGTAAATGAATTCTGTCTCGCACACAAGCGCACACCTCGTGGAGCCGCTGGGCAGTCGCTGGAAGTTAGCCTGCTGCCTTCTCTGGGCAGCCCAGCGATCGCAGGGTTTGCTGTGGGGAGCACGCGCCGCTTACCCACGCCGCAGCCCGCCGGGTGAAGTTGCCCTGAAGCCCGCAGCCGCCTCCAGCCCCGCTGCTCCCCGGGGTCCAGGCATTCCCCGGCTGCGCCCGTTCGCTCGCCTGCCCGCGCGCTGGAGGCCGCGGCGCTGCACGGGGCTGGCGGGCTCTGCGGCCCGGGCGCCCCGGCCGTGGGAGAGCAGCGGCCCCCGCGCGCCCCGCGCGTTCTCACGGCCCGGCCCAGCGAGCGCAGCCGCCGGCGCGGCGCTGCCAGGCGCCCACCCCAGTCAGTGCTCCTCCCTCGCGCACCGCGGGTCCCCCGGGCCCAGGGCCGGCCCTCCGGGCGTCGTCTCTTTTCCTCTCGCTCCTCCCTAGCGTGGGAACCGGGCCCTGGCTCCCCAGGGCTGGGCAATTTGGGAGCTTAGGGAAGGTTTCCCAGGAGGGGAAGGACGCCCAGCCCAAGAAGGGGTCCCTGAAGAAGGACCGCTTGTCTGAGCAGCCCCGACCCGCGTGGGGACGCGGCGACCACTTACTTGGTGGCTTCGCACACCTCGGGGCTGTGCTTCCGGATCTCTAGCAGCTCCAGGGCGCGCCTAGCAAATCCGCACTGCGAAAGGAGAAAGAGAGAGGGCGTCAGGGGTGGCAGGCGGTGAGCGGGAGACGGGACCCTGCAGTGGCACCTGTCGGTCCCCGCCTGTGTGCACCCTGGGCACTCGCGGCAGCGGCGCTGACGCTCGGGTCGCTCGTGTCTACCTGCTCAACAGGCTGGGCGGGAGGCGGCGTGCCTCGGAAACGGTGTCGACCGCGTGGCTCCCAGACCTTCAGTCCGCCCCTGCCTTTGTCTCTCTGTGTCTGACTGTATCTCCCTCTTTGATCACCCCAAAAGAACCCTTGCAGTTCCTTTCTCTATGGCATTCGATTTTTTCAGACCTCTCCCCGTCTCCTCCCCTTCTCTGCGTCGAAAGACTGAAAAAGAAAGTAGCAGCCAAAACGCACCATGGTGAGATCACGCTGGGCTGGGGTCCCTAGGCTGCTCCAGGCGCTCCTTCACCCGCAGGTGTCCTTCCCCTGGGTCTGCTCCAGTCTGCTCGCTGCTCTAGGGCAGGAAAAGTGTAGGAAAACTCTGCACTAAAACCTGCTTCTGGAAAACTGACTCTGTTCTGTGTCCCACCCACTAGGCTCAGAATAGGGCAGGGGAACCGAGTCCTGGTCTCTGCAGCCGCCCAATCGCCATCCCAGAAATTACTGTGTGGATACTGAGACCTAGGGGCAGTGTACAAAAGTGAGAGAGAGAGAGAGAGAGAGAGAGAGAGAGAGAGAGAGAGAGAGAGAGAGAGAAGGGAAAAAGTTGGAGAAGACTCCAGGAAAAATTGACCCAATTGACCCACTTGAAAACAAAAACATGTCTTCTTCTCTGTGCACTGGTTCAGAAACACTGCAGTTTTCCAGTTAAAAACAACATTTCTGCCGGGAAGTTGACATCTGCGCTGATGATTTTCTTGTGCTAGTTTTCAGATTTGAAGCCAATATACTTCTTTGCAGAAGCAATTTTATGGTTACAGAGATTTTACATCTTTTGAGTAAAGGCTGGCTTCTGCTTGGCTCGGTGCGCTTAGTTCTATTTGTTACCTATGTGTGTGTTGTGATTCTATGCTTTTAGTCACCTTTCTGACTTAAAAAAGATCCCATCATGCTGTTTCATTGTGAATTAACAATTAATCATGAACTTTATGTGATCCCTCTTCAATTCAATTCAATTCATGGTTATCTTCCTCTTTTATATGTTTCCCAAATCCACCAACTAATGTGGCCCCACTTTAAGCTCATCACATTTGCAAACTTACTCCCAGCCTTGCCTGCTGTGCTTGCCTCATGGCGAACATTAATCAGAATCAGGAAAACAAATACATTTAAGCAACTCAGGAACAGTTAAGAAAGTCAGCTATAATAAGCACAGGTAGCCACAGAAACTTTTGCCCTCCTGCCATCTCAGAAACTTCTTTTCCTCTGCATTTAAACCATGATACTCTCTTAGATCAGCAGGGCATTTGTACTAAGAATATTTAGAACTTCAGATGTAGAAGGAAACCTTAAGAAAATACATAGTAATTCATAAGTAAAAGGAAGAGGGAAGTCATACTATTTTAAGTAAATTAAATGCTATGAATATTCAGAAGAAAATGAGATATTGTCTGACAGGTTTCATAAAAGAACAGTATTAGAGATAGGACTTGAAGGATTGGTCATATTTGGAAAACGATAAAATAGAGGAAGTTTTTTTGGTGTCTTTGCTTTTTTCTGACAGAGGGAAACTTGTGAGCAAACATATAGAGGTTGAAAAGGCATGGCACTGTTATTCAAAGAGTAGTACCATCTGGTAGAAATAAAATGTACGTAAAGAAACCTGTAGGAAGATATGGTAGAAAGATAGGTCGGGTTCAGATGCCTGATCCGCGGTTGGCATGAGTTTCAGGCTTATATAAAGACTTTGTTGTTGTTGTCTTCTGCTGCTGATACCATTACCAATATTCCTTTCATTCTGGAACATGATTTATTTAACCCTTAATTTTGACTTCTACAGTTCTCAAGTTTTATAGCATACCAAACTCCTTGATTAGTATTGCACTGAACCCCAGTCCATTCTGCCAGAAGCTACTCAGCTTTATCAGGGGTAGACTCTCAACTGGAGAATGTCTTGTCTTCTTCCTCCTCTACCCTTTGTGACTCTCAGACAATGGGTAAGAAGAGTAAGCAACCAATCTAAGCATAATCGTGGCTAGAACCACCAGAAGGTGATTACAAAAGACATTCTGTAATCTGGATGTTTGATATGTGCTAAAAAAGTAACAAGAGTTCCTTGATGTTAGGGAAGTACTAACCCTCACAGCCTCATTTCCTAGCAGTGAACATGGTTCATAACGGGATTCACTAAAATGACTCTGAGTGGATGAATCAATATCTGAATATTTCATCCTCTTCCAGGTCGATTCTTCTTTCTTATAGTTGACTTATGGGTTAAAAACTACTTTCCTCCACTTTATTGAGAATAAGAAAGTTGTCATGACAACTTAATAAAAATGTTAACAAGGAAAATTATTCAGTGTAAAGCAATCATTCTAGCCATGTTGGCGCTGGCAGAGAAGCTCAAGATATTTTCATTTCCTCTCAAGATGCTTTGTGCTTCTTGTACCTACAACAATATAAAAGCATTTAAATGTACATTAATTTCACACTTGCAAGTGAAATGACAATAGCAACTAGAGATAGTATCTAAATCCTTGCTACTCAGAGTATGGTTTCAGCAGTATCCCATAACCTGCAGTCTTGTTAGAAATACAGAAGTTCAGGCACCTCTCCAAACCAATTGAATTAGAATATCCATTTAACAGAATCCCCAAGTGATATCCACGCACATTAAAGTTTGAAAAGCACTGATCTACTATCAAGGTGTTAAGTATGATAAGCCTCAAAACACATTATATGAATCTTCCTAAATCCAAAGATTTTTAGAACCAACGTCTTTATTTTTCTGGGTTACTATTGCCATGTCAGTTCAAATAAAGTAATGGGACTAATGATTTCATCTCTACTGACTTTGTGGACCATAACAAATTCATAAACCAGAGGGAATTAAGAGAGAGAATGGCAAAAGGGTAGAAATGAGAGAAGTGTTATATACATGTCAGGGGCAGAGCTTTGTTTTATTTTTAGCAAACAAACAAACCATGGATTGTACTATTTACCAAATTGGGATAACCTCTTAAACACAGAAAATTAAGATAAACTTCTGTCTTTTTATTTCTTCCTTTTCTTAGTATTATTCATTTTCAATTTGTTTTAGTGTACCTGCTTAGATAAATTTTGCACTGGTAACTTGCTGTAAGATGATGCAAACACTCCAAAATGTCTCTTTTATATGAATGTAAAGGTTTAGTTAGAAAAACTAAATCATATTAGACTGGTGTGAATACATTTCTAGTCCTGGTATAGACATTCATGAAGTAGCCTGAACTAGAAGAGATTCTGATGGTAACAGAAATGTCGTCCACGGTATCAAGGAGTTGGTGTTTGTGAGAAGTAAATACAGTGGTAAGAATAATGGCACTCCAAAGATGTCAGCCTGCTATCCTTAGAAACTGTGAATATGCAATATTACATGGAAAGGGAGAAGTAAGGATGCAGATGGAATTAGGGTTACTAATCAGCTGGTCTTGAGATGGGAAGAATATTCCAGATTAGGCAGGTGAACCCAAAGTAATCAAAAGGGTCCTTATAAAAGCAATAGAGTCAGAGTTGGAGTGATGCTATGTTAGAAAGACTTCGCTCAGCAATTACTGGCTTTGAAAATAGAAAGGGAGCCAAGTGTGGTGGTTCATGCCTGTAATCCAGCACTTTCAGAGGCCGAGGGAGGTGGATCATCTGAGGTCAGGAGTTCAAGACCAGCCTGACCAACATGGTGAAACCCTGTCTCTACAAAATGCAAAAAATTAGCCAGGTGTGGTGGCGGGCACCCATAATCTCAGCTACTCAGGCGGCTGGGGCAGGAGAATCACTTGAATCCAGGAGGTGGAAGTTGCAGTGAGCCTAGATTACATCACTGCACTCCAGCCTGGGTGACAAGAGCCAGACTCTGTCCAAAGGAAAAAAAAAAAAAAAATAGAAAGGGGCTTAGCCAGGAATGTGTGCAGCCTCTAGAAGATGAATAAGGCTAGAAAATTTTCCCTCCTTAGAGTCTCCAGAACAGAAAGTAGCCCTGTCGTCACCTAGGTTTTAGTGTAATGAGACTCATTTCAAACTTCAGACTTCCATAAATGTAAGCTAATATATGTGTGTTGCTTTAAGCACTAAGTCTGGTGGGTAATTTGTTGCAGTTGCAATAGGCCACTAAATGTCAAAGGGTCTTAGGTGTTGGGCAATGGCAAAGACTGGAAGAATTGTGTGGAGTCAACATTTTAAAAACCGAGACTGCCTTGAACACATCGTTAGTAGAAATATGGATGTCAACTCTGCTAGTGAGGCCTCAGAAGAAAGCAAGAGTCACGGTAGAGAACATCTGTATCATCTTAGGGAATCATCATGAACAAACTACTGGTACAGATATGGACATTAAGAGTGCCACTGAACAGAGTACAGATGGAAAGGAAGAAACTGTCATGGGAATTTGCAGGAAATGATATCCTCAGTTGACATGGTTTGGCTGTGTCCCCATCCAAATCTTACCTCGAGT